TTTTTTTTTTTTTTTTTTTTGGTCGATTTTTTATATTCATTGGTGGAGATAGGACATTATCTTAACTTTTTTCCTTCAGAAATTGACATAATGACCCTCTTGCTCTGACATGCAAGCCGAACTTCACTGTAAACTCCTTATTTACACCGTCGTGTTCGAATGACATATTTGAATATGGAGTCACCACAGCAACTACTTTTCCGCAATGCTTTACGTATGCAACGAGTGAAAAAAATATCTCTTTTTCCACTAGGAAAACATAGCCAAAGCGTTTCAGTTAACTAAATCACATACTAAAAGAGCATGTGCGCTGCACAGCGCTTTCATCTAAATTCCATCTAACTTCACCTGCTTTCGAAATAGACTCTTTGTTCTCAAGAAAGGTATTCTCCTCCGTTGGCGAGCACATCTGCAGGAAGACACTGTAAGCTCCACTTTCTGATTTGTTGATCACGCAATAAAATAGCAAAGCAGAGCAGATCAAAACTGTTGCATACAGCAGCGAACATTTCATCTTGAGCATTATTTCTGGAAATTCAAGAGAGGAAAGAGTTATCAAAGCATGGCTAATATCTATGGTTTACCATGTGTATGTTTTCCTATTCTAACTTTCAACTAAATTGCTTCTTATATATAGGAAAGCGTTGATGTATAAAGCACTAATACATATTTCATAGTTAGTGTCCCAATCGAAGTTCACAAAGTCGATAGAAGTAATTCCTTATAACTTAGCTCACGATTGTCTTGTATCTATACTTTTCTCTCTTCTTAGCCTCGCCACCAATTAATGAACGTAAAACGATGATTTTTCGCAAAAGTTAGAAAACTGAATTTCGTGTTCTTAAGTTTAATTTTTATCTAGATCTCACTACTACGACTGATGATTCTGAACTTTTCAAGCTACTGCTGTCGCTTCTAAATGACCTGTAACTCACAATTCGCTGCCTAGTAAACGGCGCTCTGACTATAGAACGGAACATTTCCGATTTTTCACTCGAATACATTTCCATCATTTTAAAAT